AGTGTTACTCTATACACTGGTGAGATACTCACAGTGTTACTCTATACACTGGTGATATTCTCACAGTGTTACTCTAGACACTGGTGATATACTCACAGTGTTACTCTAGACACTGGTGATATACTCACAGTGTTACTCTAGACACTGGTGATATACTCACAGTGTTACTCTACACACTAGTGATATACTCACAGTGTTACTCTAGACACTGGTGATATACTCACAGTGTTACTCTAGACACTGGTGATATACTCACAGTGTTACTCTAGACACTGATGATATACTCACAGTGTTACTCTAGACACTGGTGATATACTCACAGTGTTACTCTAGACACTGGTGATATACTCACAGTGTTACTCTAGGCACTGGTGATATACTCACAGTGTTACTCTAGACACTGGTGATATACTCACAGTGTTACTCTACACACTGGTGATATACTCACAGTGTTACTCTAGACACTGGTGATATACTCACAGTGTTACTCTATACACTGGTGATATACTCACAGTGTTACTCTATACACTGGTGATATACTCACAGTGTTACTCTATACACTGGTGATATACTCACAGTGTTACTCGAAGTGTTACTCTAGACACTGATGATATACTCACAGTGTTACTCTATAAACTGATGATATACTCACAGTGTTACTCTATACACTGATGATATACTCACAGTGTTACTCTATACACTGGTGATATACTCACAGTGTTACTCTACACACTGGTGATATACTCACAGTGTTACTCTAGACACTGGTGATATACTCACAGTGTTACTCTAGACACTGGTGATATACTCACAGTGTTACTCTACACACTGGTGATATACTCACAGTGTTACTCTAGACACTGGTGATATACTCACAGTGTTACTCTATACACTGGTGATATACTCACAGTGTTACTCTAGACACTGGTGATATACTCACAGTGTTACTCTAGACACTGGTGATATACTCACAGTGTTACTCTACACACTGGTGATATACTCACAGTGTTACTCTAGACACTGATGATATTCTCACAGTGTTACTCTATACACTGGTGATATACTCACAGTGTTAGTCTAGACACTGATGATATTCTCACAGTGTTACTCTATACACTGGTGATATACTCACAGTGTTACTCTAGACACTGGTGATATACTCACAGTGTTACTCTAGACACTGGTGATATACTCACAGTGTTACTCTAGACACTGGTGATATACTCACAGTGTTACTCTACACACTGGTGATATACTCACAGTGTTACTCTATACACTGATGATATACTCACAGTGTTACTCTAGACACTGGTGATATACTCACAGTGTTACTCTAGACACTGGTGATATACTCACAGTGTTACTCTAGACACTGGTGATATACTCACAGTGTTGCTCTATACACTGGTGATATACTCACAGAGTTACTCTATACACTGGTGATATACTCACAGTGTTACTCTAGACACTGGTGATATACTCACAGAGTTACTCTATACACTGGTGATATACTCACAGTGTTACTCTAGACACTGGTGATATACTCACAGTGTTACTCTATACACTGGTGATATACTCACAGTGTTACTCTTGACACTGGTGATATACTCACAGTGTTACTCTAGACACTGGTGATATACTCACAGTGTTACTCTAGACACTGATGATATACTCACAGTGTTACTCTAGACACTGTTGATATACTCACAGTGTTACTCTAGACACTGGTGATATACTCACAGTGTTACTCTATACACTGATGATATACTCACAGTGTTACTCTAGACACTGGTGATATACTCACAGTGTTACTCTAGACACTGGTGATATACTCACAGTGTTACTCTAGACACTGGTGATATACTCACAGTGTTACTCTAGACACTGGTGATATACTCACAGTGTTACTCTATACACTGGTGATATACTCACAGTGTTACTCTAGACACTGGTGATATACTCACAGTGTTACTCTAGACACTGGTGATATACTCACAGTGTTACTCTACACACTGGTGATATACTCACAGTGTTACTCTAGACACTGATGATATTCTCACAGTGTTACTCTATACACTGGTGATATACTCACAGTGTTAGTCTAGACACTGATGATATTCTCACAGTGTTACTCTATACACTGGTGATATACTCACAGTGTTACTCTAGACACTGGTGATATACTCACAGTGTTACTCTAGACACTGGTGATATACTCACAGTGTTACTCTAGACACTGGTGATATACTCACAGTGTTACTCTACACACTGGTGATATACTCACAGTGTTACTCTATACACTGATGATATACTCACAGTGTTACTCTAGACACTGGTGATATACTCACAGTGTTACTCTAGACACTGGTGATATACTCACAGTGTTACTCTAGACACTGGTGATATACTCACAGTGTTGCTCTATACACTGGTGATATACTCACAGAGTTACTCTATACACTGGTGATATACTCACAGTGTTACTCTAGACACTGGTGATATACTCACAGAGTTACTCTATACACTGGTGATATACTCACAGTGTTACTCTAGACACTGGTGATATACTCACAGTGTTACTCTATACACTGGTGATATACTCACAGTGTTACTCTTGACACTGGTGATATACTCACAGTGTTACTCTAGACACTGGTGATATACTCACAGTGTTACTCTAGACACTGATGATATACTCACAGTGTTACTCTAGACACTGTTGATATACTCACAGTGTTACTCTAGACACTGGTGATATACTCACAGTGTTACTCTAGACACTGATGATATACTCACAGTGTTACTCTAGACACTGGTGATATACTCACAGTGTTACTCTAGACACTGGTGATATACTCACAGTGTTACTCTAGACACTGGTGATATACTCACAGTGTTACTCTAGACACTGGTGATATACTCACAGTGTTACTCTATACACTGGTGATATACTCACAGTGTTACTCTAGACACTGGTGATATACTCACAGTGTTACTCTAGACACTGGTGATATACTCACAGTGTTACTCTAGACACTTATGATATACTCACAGTGTTACTCTATACACTGGTGAGATACTCACAGTGTTACTCTATACACTGGTGATATACTCACAGTGTTACTCTCGACACTGGTGATATACTCACAGTGTTACTCTAGACACTGGTGATATACTCACAGTGTTACTCTAGACACTGGTGAGATACTCACAGTGTTACTCTATACACTGGTGATATACTCACAGTGTTACTCTAGACACTGGTGATATACTCACAGTGTTACTCTAGACACTGGTGATATACTCACAGTGTTACTCTAGACACTGGTGATATACTCACAGTGTTACTCTAGACACTGATGATATACTCACAGTGTCACTCTATACACTGGTGATATACTCACAGTGTTACTCTATACACTGGTGATATACTCACAGTGTTACTCTATACACTGGTGATATACTCACAGTGTTACTCTAGACACTGGTGATATACTCACAGTGTTACTCTAGACACTGGTGATATACTCACAGTGTTACTCTAGACACTGGTGATATACTCACAGTGTTACTCTACACACTGGTGATATACTCACAGTGTTACTCTATACACTGATGATATACTCACAGTGTTACTCTAGACACTGGTGATATACTCACAGTGTTACTCTAGACACTGGTGATATACTCACAGTGTTACTCTAGACACTGGTGATATACTCACAGTGTTGCTCTATACACTGGTGATATACTCACAGAGTTACTCTATACACTGGTGATATACTCACAGTGTTACTCTAGACACTGGTGATATACTCACAGAGTTACTCTATACACTGGTGATATACTCACAGTGTTACTCTAGACACTGGTGATATACTCACAGTGTTACTCTATACACTGGTGATATACTCACAGTGTTACTCTTGACACTGGTGATATACTCACAGTGTTACTCTAGACACTGGTGATATACTCACAGTGTTACTCTAGACACTGATGATATACTCACAGTGTTACTCTAGACACTGTTGATATACTCACAGTGTTACTCTAGACACTGGTGATATACTCACAGTGTTACTCTAGACACTGATGATATACTCACAGTGTTACTCTAGACACTGGTGATATACTCACAGTGTTACTCTAGACACTGGTGATATACTCACAGTGTTACTCTAGACACTGGTGATATACTCACAGTGTTACTCTAGACACTGGTGATATACTCACAGTGTTACTCTATACACTGGTGATATACTCACAGTGTTACTCTAGACACTGGTGATATACTCACAGTGTTACTCTAGACACTGGTGATATACTCACAGTGTTACTCTAGACACTTATGATATACTCACAGTGTTACTCTATACACTGGTGAGATACTCACAGTGTTACTCTATACACTGGTGATATACTCACAGTGTTACTCTCGACACTGGTGATATACTCACAGTGTTACTCTAGACACTGGTGATATACTCACAGTGTTACTCTAGACACTGGTGAGATACTCACAGTGTTACTCTATACACTGGTGATATACTCACAGTGTTACTCTAGACACTGGTGATATACTCACAGTGTTACTCTAGACACTGGTGATATACTCACAGTGTTACTCTAGACACTGGTGATATACTCACAGTGTTACTCTAGACACTGATGATATACTCACAGTGTCACTCTATACACTGGTGATATACTCACAGTGTTACTCTATACACTGGTGATATACTCACAGTGTTACTCTATACACTGGTGATATACTCACAGTGTTACTCTATACACTGGTGATATACTCACAGTGTTACTCTATACACTGGTGATATACTCACAGTGTTACTCTAGACACTGGTGATATACTCACAGTGTTACTCTAGACACTGGTGATATACTCAGTGTTACTCTAGACACTGATGATATACTCACAGTGTTACTCTAGACACTGGTGATATACACAGTGTTACTCTAGACACTGGTGATATACTCACACTGGGGGACTGCTTGGCGGCGAAGTCCTGGGAGTAGTTGGTGCGCCAGGGGTTGTCAGGGTGCGGCACCCCAAGATGGTACTGGGAGATGTGCATGGAGGGGCCAGGCGTGGCACGTGTCGGTGGATTCAGCGTCTTGCTGCCTCCGTGGAACTGGAAGGAAGGATCAACGTTTATCTCCGTTCTACACAGAATTAGTCATTTTCAAAGAAAAGAGAGGGAAACTCGGAAAACCTTCTCCTGTTGTTTGAAAGGTAATTTTACAGATGCTATAGAGCATACTCACTGAGTTATATGTCTCCATACTGTTTGTTTGTTTGTTCATTTAACGCCGCACTTAGCAATATTCCAGCTATATGACAGCGGTCTGTAAATAATCGAGTCTGGACCAGACAATCCAGGGATTGATATCATGAGCAATGATCCACGCAATTGGGATCGATGACATGCATCAACCAAGTGAGCGAGCCTCACCACCCGATCCCGTTAGTCACCTCTTACGACAAGCATAGTCGCCTTTTAAGGCAAGCATGGGTTGCTGAAGACCTAGTCTACCCTGATCTTCACAGGTAGCTTTACGTCTACATACTGAGAGAGACTGGTCATGATATATGATGATATAGAGCACACTGAGCTATATGTCTGCATACTGAGAGAGGCTGGTCATGATATACAATGATATGGAGCAAACTGAGCTATATGTCTACATACTGAGAGAGGCTGGTCATGATATACAATATGGAGCACACAGAGCTATATGTCTACATACTGAGAGAGGCTGGTCATGATATACAATGATATAGAGCACAATGAGCTATATGTCTCCATACTGAGAGAGGCTGGTCATGATATACAATGATATGGAGCACAATGAGCTATATGTCTCCATACTTGGAGAGACTGGTCATGATATACAATGATATAGAGCACAATGAGCTATATGTCTGCATACTGAGAGAGGCTGGTCATGATGTACAATGATATAGAGCACACTGAGCTATATGTCTGCGTACTGAGAGAGGCTGGTCATGATATACAATGATATAGAGCACACTGAGCTATATGTCTGCATACTGAGAGAGGCTGGTCATGATATACAATGATATGGAGCACACTCAGCTATATGTCTCCATACTGAGAGAGACTGGTCACGTTATACAATGATATAGAGCACAATGAGCTATATGTCTCCATACTGAGAGAGACTGGTCATGATATACAATGATATAGAGCACAATGAGCTATATGTCTGCATACTGAGAGAGGCTGGTCATGATATACAATGATATAGAGCACACTGAGCTATATGTCTTCATACTGAGAGGGGCTGGTCATGATATACAATGATATGGAGCACACTGAACTATATGTCTGCATACTGAGAGAGGCTGGTCATGTTATACAATGATATAGAGCACACTGAGCTATATGTCTTCATACTGAGAGAGGCTGGTCATGATATACAATGATATAGAGCACACTGAGCTATATGTCTTTATACTGAGAGAGGCTGGTCATGTTATACAATGATATAGAGCACACTGAGCTATATGTCTTCATACTGAGAGAGGCTGGTCATGTTATACAATGATATGGAGCACAATGAGCTATATGTCTGCATACTGAGAGAGGCTGGTCATGATATACAATGATATAGAGCACAATGAGCTATATGTCTGCATACTGAGAGAGGCTGGTCATGATATACAATGATATAGAGCACACTGAGCTATATGTCTTCATACTGAGAGAGGCTGGTCATGTTATACAATGATATAGAGCACACTGAGCTATATGTCTTCATACTGAGAGGGGCTGGTCATGATATACAATGATATGGAGCACACTGAGCTATATGTCTCCATACTGAGAGGGGCTGGTCATGATATACAATGATATAGAGCACACTGAGCTATATGTCTGCATACTGAGAGAGGCTGGTCATGATATACAATGATATAGAGCACACTGAGCTATATGTCTTCATACTGAGAGAGGCTGGTCATGATATACAATGATATAGAGCACAATGAGCTATATGTCTGCATACTGAGAGGGGCTGGTCATGATATACAATGATATGGAGCATAACACATGACTACCTTCACCTGCAGTGCATGTTCTCAGCCCACACTGACACTTCTCAATAGGAGCCTTTTGACCCTTGGCAGCCAGTGACACGATTGTTGTAGATTTCAATCTATCACGCTTTGGTATGTTGAGACCGCGTTTTAGTGACTCACATAAATAGCAAAAGGATCAGGTCATAAATAACATACATTATTCATACTCTAAAGGCACCAATTGAACATGTTGAAAGTTTAAAAAAGAACTTTATTTGGACATTAATCTTATTAATTTCTTTGAATGAAAGTTTTCAATTTAGTTGCACACCTTCAGATATGTAGTACTGCTGCAAATCAGGACTAAAGTGGACTGTCTGTGCCCAAACCTTTCAGTCTACATGGTCTGCTAGGCTGAACTTGTCTTCCAGCACCATTTTTCAAAGTTTGTCCAATTTATTGGCTTTCATGATATCACATATACTTCATTTAGAAGGGTCTTGATGTCGTAAATCCATTAAACACAAATTTCTATGAAATAAAATCTACATTGAACATGAAAATGGAGAATATCCTGCAAAATATATACTTACGTATTGCCTTTAAACTGGAATATGTTGAAACTGAGGTGATGATATGATGAAAATACCAACACTAGTAGGTGTATTTGGCACTTAGATATAATGCTTGTCGTAAGAGGCGACTAACGGGATCGGGTGGTCAGGCTCGCTGACTTGGTTGATGCATGTCATTGCATCCCCATTGCGTGGATCGATGCTCATGATGTCAATCACTGGATTGTCTGGTCCAGACTTGTCATATAGCTGGAATATTGCCGAGTGCTGCGTTTAACAACAAACAAACACTAACGCTGGTCTTTTGGGCACAACATAGTAAATTGTCCCAGTGGAACGAAATAAATAGTGCTCCAAAAGTTAAGTGTTATTCTTGTGTACATCGATTATTTCTATGATTAGAAACAGATATTTGGTGCAAAATAGAAGCACAATAAAAACTAAACAACTCTATGTGGTGTTAATTTCTTATCCATTGATTTATCGTTTTTATTTTTTTTGTCTATCCATCTACATTGTACCAATTTATTTATTTAGTTTACATTTACTTTTGTATATTAACATATACATTGACTCATTTAAGTATGTTTATATGTATTTATCTATTAAATTACTTAGTTTTCTAATTCATCATTTGCTATCAACACCTACAGTCTCGTTGCACGGATTATCCAAATGCATTGAAATGTAAATCATGCATTATAATGTTAATAAAAAGATTCTGGAAAAAAACATGTATATCTTTTCATTTTCTAAATAACTTTCACTTTCTGGTCAGTACCAATGGAGGCCCGACAGGAACAGAACTTTCTGTCTGCTGGTACTTTGAACAGCTAAGGAAATTTAGTTGGTTGCAAATTGTTTTAATTAAATATTTAATGACATGTTTTTTGTAAATGTATATTTTATCCTAGTCAGTGATTGATGACTGCAGCACATGAATATGTTTGAATAATATAAATATGTAGCTCTGAGGTTGTACAGCTGAATGCGAGCATGCTGTAACATTATCCTCATCTACATCATCATCAACAACAACAACAACAACAACAACAATAATAATAATAATTGTAGCAACTGATATGAAAACAAGACAAAGTTTTGCATTTCCCTGGAAGCATACAGCATATGTTGTGAAGTACCTGTCTCGAGGTGGTTGTGTAATCCGGTACCCAGGGGGCTTTGGCCATGAGAAGGGTGGTGGCATGCATGGGCCGGGCGCCCCACCCCCTCTTGAATGGAGCTGACAGCACTTGTTGCCTCTCTCTGTACGAGCCATGTGCAACGATAGGAAAATAACACCCATCTTCTGTCAACAACGTTGTGGCACTCTTGCCCTGGCCAAAGTTAACCCTTGGCTCAAACAAGGCCTCGGTCGACATGTTAGCTGTTAATGACATTTCCTCTGTAAATCTACATAATTATCATTTAAAGAAATCCTGGTGAAGTTGACAGCAGTAAAAGCTTGACACACTTCCGTTTGTGGTCATGTAAACAGTGGCGACGCGGGATAATGCACGCGATTGTGTCACTCCTTTTGACGCTATGATATTGATCCGAAAAAAAATAGTTCTCTATTTTGTATTTACCATTAGGCAAATACTGTTCATATTTATGCATTTAAACACTTTAATGGTTACATGCTATTACACGTAGCATGTTGTAGGAACTGTAATAATAATAGACATGTCGATAGATACTTTGAACTGGTGACAGTTGTCAAGGAGACAGTAGTCACCGAAAAGTTGTGAATCGGGTCATTCCGGAAGCTCTCGGAAGTTGCCGAACCGTCGTCTGCATGCGCAATGATATGACAGTACATAACAGTAAATAAAGGTTGGAGGTTGGTGAAATATTTGACAACAGACAGGATAGATTCACCAAGAAAGTGATGTTAGGGTATAATTCTTTATCTCAATCGAAACCCATCCCATTAAAAATGTACCCACCCAATCAAACAAATAATACAATTTATATACAAAGAGAGGTGTTCGAAAGAAGTTAATAGAAGACATACAATGTCATAATTTAATTTAACTTTATATGAATAATTATTGTGCTACGATATATGGTTAGTATTTTATCCCATTCCTATTTTTGTATCAACAAACGTAGATAATATTTATGTTACTGTTATTTTGAAAAGAAATGACCTGATTTCTTACATGGGCAGTAAATCGGTAGATGGAGCGGTTATTTTTTTATTAGGATTATCTGGTATCAATACTTTAATTCACTGTCAAATGAAAAAAAACCTCCCTGATTTTATGATGTCCATTCATTAAACTGTGACATCACAAATAATTATGTATCTAGTTAATTTTCCCATAGGTATTTGTTTTATCACAAATAATTTTGTAAATAGAAGATTGTTTTAAAAGAACAATTTTATTGATATTATAAAGTGATTATTGATATCTTAATAAAGATAAAGGGGCACACAAAAAACCTCCATATTCATAAGAAATCTATGCCAAAAGTAATAAACAAGGAAAAGTTAGTAAAACGGCACGTCATACAGACGTATGTGCTATATAATATACATGTATATGCATCTTCACGCGGCAAAGGTTCTAACAAATTTGGAAATTGGACTTTTAATATAACACGCCTCCGAGGTTTTGGTTGAAAATGTAAAACCGCTAGCAAATGAAAAACCCGAGGATGCGTGTTTTATCCAACTTATGAACCGTCTAAATGCAAGAAATACCAGAAACAAATATAAGAAAATATCGACATACCTTATAGTGAAGCAATACAGTTTATCGCGGTATTAAAGGAATTCGCCCAAAGCTTGCGAGATAAAAACCACGTGCAGCATGGACTAGCTGGAGTAATGACATGATAAACTGAACAACTTCCCATCACCTGCCCCGGTATTGCTGAGTGGGAAAACAGTGGGTTACAAAGCTTAACATGATATGTGAGGTTGCAAGTTCAATTCACGTCATGGAATATTCATGTTAAAAAGGAATTGTGACTTTTAACCAATCATCAAACACAATTGTGTTCACATCAAGAGGCAAGTTTATAAACATCAACTGTAAAAGCTAGGTATTACAGTTGTAATGTATCCGAATAACGGACATGAAGTAGTAACATCATAGTAACCCGACATCACATGTTACTACTTCATGTCCGTTATTCAGTTATGGCCTGATGAGACTCGTACGTGGTACGAGTTGAAAGCGCTAGCCTATTAAAACTGTGGTCAATCTTACTCCACTTATTTAATTATTACTATATATATATATATATATATATATATATATATATATATATATATATATATATATATATCCATGGTAATAACATAATGATAATGCGTTCTTTACAGCCGCACTCAGCAATATTCCAGCTATATGACAGCGGTCTGTAAATAACCGAGTCTGGACCAGACAATCCAGTGATTGACATCATGAGCATCGATCCATGCAATGGGAATACGATGACATGCATCAACCAAGTCAGCGAGTCTGATCAGCCGATACTGTTAGTCACCTCTTACGACAAGCATAGTCGCCTTTTATGGCAAGCATGGGTTGCTGAAGACCTAGTCTACTCCGGATCTTCATGGGTCTGCAAATACATGTAATAACACAGATGAGTGTGTGCGAATCTTGTTTAATGCGGCTGTAACTAATCATGCCGCGACCAGACCTGACTATCCAGTGACTAAAATCTTGAACTACTGTCCCCGCCCCTCGGGCAAATGTGAGTGAGTGAGTGAGTGAGTGAGTGAGTGAGTGAAATAGTTCAGCTTTATAATCTCTCTTATATCTAAAATAGATAGAAATGGGGCTTAACGTCGCGTCCAAGATAATTGCACTTACATAGCGACGTGCATGCATGTGTGTGTTCGGCTGCTTGTGCTAATCCGGACTAACGCGAGTCGCGAGTTCGAGTCCGACGGGTTCTCATTAAACACTGGCTACTTGTCCTAGTGACATGTGACCTACGACAGACTTGAAGTGCTAAATTATATAGGTATTCCAATCACTCTACAGGCCAAGATCATACCATGAATTATAAATATCCAAACATGAATTACCTTCACAACTTCAGCCGTTATGATAGGATGTTCACCTGACACATCACGCACGGGAGCATCTGTACTCATTGTATACAGCGAGGGGAAACTGGGAACCTTGTCTAGTCATGCATCCCCATCCTGCCCATCACGGGCTTGTCAAATATATCGTCCGTAGTCTAGTGGTACAGCGTCCGCCAGGGAAGCGGAATATCAGGGGTTCGATCCCCAACCGCGTCATACCAAAATACGTACAAATATCGGTCTCTGAGCAGGTCTAGAACATCCTGGATACCATATCTGGACAGACACCCAGTGAAGGAGTCCATGCACTCAGGGCACAATGACACAATGACACATTGACACAAGTCGTTGAGCAACATATATGCTTGTTAGTTGGCAAACGCGTCCGTCATTTGATGAGTGAGTGATTAAGTATAGTTTTACGCCGCTTTCAGCAATATTCCAGCAATATGACGGCCCACTGATAATGACTCCATACTGAGGTGCTCCAATTCTTGAATAGATTAACAAGAAAATAATAGTTCTAAATCATTTTATTATTTCTTTCTCAAGGTGAACGAAGACCCTGCAAGTGACCGTGCATAAGCGAATACTTCTAAATAATTTTGCCATAGATGTCCTGTGCCGAACCGGGAAATAGCCAGAGAAATGCTCAAATAGCCCAGTGAGGGGGACACAAGCGGAGGCAGTATATATATATATGTACACTACACCCAACCGCATCATTAAACAGGGAACTATACAATTGCATCTTAACACCTTCACAAAAGAGTGAACAAACTTTGATTATAATACAATTTGCCAAATCGCAAAATGAAAATTCCAATTCAGGTATGGAACCTATGAGAACAGTCAGCGATGGCCAAGGCATCTTACACTCAGATTATCATCCTTTATGATGTCCTCAGAAAACAGCAGCGGGTGACATGATGGTCCTCAAAGATAGTTGTCAAATATGATCGTCAAAGAAGGACGTCAAAGATGGTTGTCAAAGACTGTTGTCAAAGAAGGTCGTCAAAGACGGTTGTCAAAGACGGTTGGCAAAGACGGTCGGCAAAGATGGTCGTCAAAGATGGTTGTCAAAGATGGCCGCCTCGGGCGGAATGAGTGTAAATTGGACTAGGGGTGACTGTCTTCTCCTCCACGACAGTTTCTTAGACCACAAGCAAGAAATCAATTGCCCCCTCCTCCATGTTATCGACGTGGACGTAGATCCCGTCGGTGTCTGGAACCAAAGAAATAGTGATTAGGGGTTAAAAAGCATGAAGTTCTATTATTCCACCCGATCCACCCAGAGCAACTTCAGCCTGTAACCAGCTAGCTTTCTAGATGTAGAAGTAGCTTCGTAATGGTGTAATGCGCCATGCAAACCTTTCAACAACCATTCCAGTATGTTCCCAGTCACCTGGAATTACAAATAGAATCTACATTATCATGAAGAAAATTATACGGTAACCATTGATAATTACATCACCAGCTGGTCACATGACCACGTCATGCATCATCATCATCCGCCGCCATTTTGTGTAAGGTCACGTCATTTGTTCCACTCAACCTAGGCCAAGTTTAGTGGGTGTTTTCATAACAATAAATACTCTTCAATATTCCTACCATTGCCACAAATGGGAACGTAATGTCGTGCGTGTTTTCTACAGGTAGCCTTGTATTCTTTGCGTCACTAGAAACAACGTCGACGTGCACAAGCAAGGTCACGCATCATGCCGTATTTTGTTTACATTTCAGCAGTATGCATCGGAGGCAGAAAATTTATTCAAGCTCTGAAGTCCCAAACAACTGAAAATGCTCCAAAACACCATCACGTGACCCTGGTATTCTCAAAGTGCTGGTGAAAGTGTTTGTTTTGTAGGCCTAAATGTTTGTTGATAGTAGAGAGGCTGATTGATAGACTTTATAACAAGTCATTATCAACATTCCCCAACTGTTAGTTAATTACACTGGTCAGTCTACATCTGTATTGTTTCTTTGCAACCTGTCAACAAACTCAAATTTATCCATTTATACCTGAATAATTGTGTTGTCATATTTTAAGATTATGACTAGGCCTACATCATCTAACTAACTGTAATCCTCTGATAACTAAATGTCTGAAGGCAAAATACCATTTTATTGATGAATATATCTCCATTTAACTCATACAATTTAGTGTAGGGTGTAATGTTGGAATGTTTTTGTTGACAGTAGCAGACACTACATCTGCCTATGAGCAATGGACAGAACTGAGAATACCATATCATGAACCGTAGTGAACACTGCTAGCAACATCCTGTTTTAGTAAGTATAATTGAATCCCCAATTATAATGTCATTGTACATACAAAAAATGACATAGTGTTGTTTTTAAAAAGTGATCTGTTTGGCAGTGTTTTATATATTGTATATTTTTCTTTTCACTTTGTCTACTAGCCTGCATTTGTCCTTGTCATTTTCCTGTTATTTCTGATACATTCCAAAATAAGATTTGTCTGTACAGTACCAGCACACTTTAATAAGGACTAAGAGCAAATGTGCCTATTTCTCAGTGTTTTAGACAATTTGTGTTGTACCCAAATAGAGGGAATATTGTTACTGTAGTTCTTGTCATTGTCTTGGTGGCAAGTGCCACATGATCATGGGCACTACTTCAGCATGTTTAGTTATACACATTTACCAGTGAAGATCAGGGTCAGAATAGGTCTTCAGCAAACCATGCTTGCTTTAAGAGGCGACTATCCTTGTCATAAGAGGCAACTTACATGATTGAGGGGTCAGGCTCAGAGACCATGTTGATGCATGTCATCGTATCCCATTTGCATGGATTGATGCTCATGATGTCAATTACTGGATTGTCAGGTCCAGATTTGATTATTTACAGGCAGCTGTCAAAGTTGTCGAATATTGCTTAGTACAGCATTAAACAACAAACAAACAAAGTTATACAGTTCAATTTTTTAAATAATCTTACCCTAGTATTATAATGTGCTATTTTTATTGATTATTATGAATACAGACTGTTTGTATCAGTTTGTAAGAGACACAAACCAAGGTTCCAACAACTATCTGCACATGCTTTGTCGTAACACAATTAATATGGTATCTTCAGGTTATGTATGTATGTAAAATGTGCTAGAAAGTGTCCACTTTAGTTGTAAAATCAGTATCTTCCTCACAACAGAGCTAATGTGCACTACCTTGTTGTGGTATTTTTTGTTGAACTCGTCTCTGTCTTTCTCAAGTTATGTTTGTGCAAGGTGCCTACCTGGTGTATTGATAATATTACCTGACAAGAGTCAAGTTTGCTCATCATATTCTGAAATAAGTGTCTCCAATCTAATAGAAATGGGAAAAGTAATACAAGCGAGTCACCATCATTTTAACCGGTGCTAGGGATGTCAGCATAAAGTATATTAATATTATAAATATTAAAACTCTTTGCACCTGGATTGGAAGAATTGAACATTATAAGAAAACTGCTATGTTCCTTTTCAGCTGACAGGCTGTTTGTGGAAGATGTAAGGTCAAGTGCTAGCCCCCTGTTTAGTTTAGACCTACATTGTAAATGTTGTGCACTGGACCATGGAGCCTGGTCACTACAGGGTTTACCCAAACCTCTTAAAACTGGGGACAAATTCAATTTCTAATCTTAAAAATATCATCTTGATTCTCTAATCATACTGTTAAAATTATGTTTTACGTACTTATCTTATCTCTGTGGAATTCCTAATCCAATTAAATAGTAATGTCCAATATTTTTTAATATATTTGCAGATAACAAATTGCTATAGACTAATAAGGCAACTGCTATATTATATTCTGACTCTTTACTGGACTCACCAGACTCTGCACTGTATACTACTGAACACAATGAAGGATCAACGTCTTTTCATTTCGGAATTCAAGTAGCAAGCGGTAGCCTGTTGTCTGGTACTTTAAAGTATACTATAATGCATGTACTAATTCTTTATACTGTAAACACATAACATGTTTTGCTTGAGCAATTCTTCCTGAAAAGCCCCCAAGTTTTAAACCCAAGTCAAGTTACATTGTGCTCGATGTAGTAAGTCAAATTAATAATAGTCAATATGTCAACACTAAAATCCTGTTTGGGCTAGTTGACCCATCATTTTGGGGCACAGGCTGCTCATGTAATTCAATATATGGTGACAAAGTTGCACGAGGTTCTGTTGTGTGTATTTCAATAACTTGAACATTTATGAACTTTAACCTTAATGTAATCCTTGAATCCAGTGATGCTTTATTTTTACATTTCTTTAATAACCTACAATTGTTATGAAGCTGTCATTTTTTGTGTGGTTCCAGGAATAAAGTCACCAGAAATGTATTCAAAAATTTTATCTGAGTTTGAGCATGACCAACATGGCAGATATTTTTAAAATGTTGTTTTCTTCCACTACTCAGACATGTAAGTTATTGTACAGTAAGTCATCTGTAGTGTAAAAACATGTTGATTCTTTTGTTTGCATATTTAGCTATTCCAGAACTGTTAGATGATATTAAATTGCTGTAGAAGGTATTTATTTCCATCTATAATGTCATTATGGTATACCAGTGTGTATGACAATTGTTTTGAAATTCATCAATATCTTCAAATATGATCTATTGTATCCAGTGACTGACATGTAAGAAAGAAGGAAGTTAGGCAGCACCCAATCAGAGAGCGTACCATTAGACCCATGTGATCAAAGGGGTTCCAATTCAACACATTGCCCTTACGTATGATGGTCACTGTCAAACATTTTTCATGGATCTCTGTGTTTGAAAACCAACTCATCCTGATAATATGTTTCTGATTATATTGCCTATTCACTTACACAAGATACACAATTTTGAGTAATAAACAGTTGAATGTAGAAATCTGTTAATGTTGACAGGAAGAGAACAATCATTACCTTAGTGTTATGTTAAATATCATTAACATGATTAAGGCTTTAATGACTTATTGATAAATAAGAAATATACGCAGCAAATTCTGTCATTGTCATTGTAGTATTTGTCTATACTATTACTTAAACACTACATTAATAGCCATAATCACATTCAATTACAGGGATTGATTTCTCTACATACAAGCCCCACCAATGCAGGTAAAAACGTTGCTGGGTCCACTTGCACAGAACAATCTTAGCACTAAATCCTTAAGATCACGATCTTAGGCTTCGGCTACAATTGCTGTCCAATTGATCAAAGGGATTGTAGGCTATGATCATTGTAAGCTACAAGCGAAACTTACAATTGGTCCAAACCAATCTTAAGTAGCTAAGATCGTTGTGGTCCCTGAATAAACTTGACAAAATGGCGTGCAGGACCTCATCTAATTCACATAAATATTCAAATATTGCCTTGTTATTTTGTTAACTTTATGATTCAAATCAACACTTTAATTTAAGATTTAACGTCAGAAACATCGTTAATTGCAATAGTGAACCACTTAACTATCGATTCGATAACTTTTTGATAACTCAAGGGCAGCTAATCATAGTTTATACTCTAGAAGAGAGTGGTTTCCCTTTGTGTAAGCATGTAGCGTAGAATCTACCTTGCCCAGTGTATTAATGTTGTAGAATCGCTAAGCTCCCCCTGTTATTCTTTGGGTCCCATTCGTGTCAGTTATTTTGTCTTTAGTTCATCATTAAATTAATCTACAAATAAATATTAGATGAAGTCAAACATGATTAAATCTAAAATCGAGTTGGCAGGGGACGAGGGATTTTAAAATCTGAATTAAAAAGCAAAGAAAAGTATTTATTAAACAAGCAAATACACATGATGAGACATTTGAAATTTGTGTAAAATATCCCATAAATAGCAAAAGTAAAATTTACACCCTTTAAAAATAATTATCAATATAATTAATACCAAGTGAATATATATTAAACAACTGATTTCTCGAAACATTATTCATTATTATTATTTCCCATGCATTCTTGAAATCCTGCGTCTTCCTGTGTTTTGAAAAGGTACTCATAACATCCTTTGTCACAGCAACGAAATGAAAGCATGAAGGATATATTTAGGATTTTACGAAAAGCTTCCCCGTGTTATGTTATTAGGAAATATTTTTAGTATTATTTATTTTTATTTTCATAATGATTGTGTCACTAAATAATATATTTATTCGTATTTCAATACTTTTGATAAAAAAACGTGAGTAGGTATTTCTCAAGTTGCAACAGATAACAATTCCTAAATCATGACACTATTAATGCCGACAAAAATATATGCCATCATTCTAGTAATCGTTTCCTTCAAATAATTGGCACCTTTCTTGAAACTGTGCAAGGTGCCATGGAGGGAGGTACGTGTTGTGTCATGAACAGTTCCACTTATTGTATACGCAGCAAGCTATGCGCATTTGCAGACAACTGTAGACAGGAGTCGAGTTTAAGATATTTGTACCTCCACCGTTGAAGATTTCAATCTTAGATGAGCCGTCTTACAATCACACTAAGATGGGTTTGTGCAAGTGGAATAGGACCCATGTATGGTGATTGTAAAATTGATTGTAGCCGCCTAAGATCGATTGTAACTAAGATTGTTCTGTGCAACTAGGCCCAGGTGTCGGTAACTTTTAGGTGAGGTTAGGTTGCACGCAGTGCAGGTAACATTTCCAACCATAAGTGGAAAACTGAATTCTTTTAGAACTGGCTGCAAGTCTTTTTGAATCCAGGAAACAAAAGTTCATGAAAATAGTGAAATACACAGGTGGTCTGAATGCATTGAACTTGAGGACTCATTCTTCACATTTACCAATAGAACAGTCACTCATGAGGTTACAATCACAACAGACACTTTCAGACTTCTGTTTTAGGTTGTTAACTCGATATCATGATATGAAAAGGCATGTACAGATTCACCTCAAAATAAATTCTGGAGCACATTCTCAAGGGGTTTTTTTCTTTGAATTTATTTAAAATTCAAAATAACAGAAAATTTTGTTGGTGCAACCTGCTTAGTTCACTTTGTTGCACCTGGTGCAGGTGGTAAGACAGAATGAAATCGTACCCTGAATTATAGACCAAGGCCCCGATGACTGTATGACTATGGAGTAGCATTGATTATCATCGTCATATTTTTTATTTCAGTTGGCACACAACAGCATCCCTCCTGATCAAGTGAAAAGGAATCCTATGACACCGCTTGATCTTTGTCTGACATGGAAATCTGCAAATCAAATAAGGTGGAAGAATAACATCTGGTTAAAAAATGTATGTGGAAAAGTAAGTTTTTCAACATTTTGGGTAAGATTAAACTTCCAAATTTCATCAGGGGTTTGAAAATTAAAGGATGATAAATTCCTCATGGCTTGTTATGTGTTATTTATCCACTGTTTCCTTTGTTTGGACTTTTATTTTTATAAAATATACATTAAATGTAAAACTAGGCAAAAAGTCAGCAAAATCAGTCAAAATCAAGAAGGTCCGAAATCGCAAACATAACTGCATTGAGGTGGGTGTCTGAGTTGAAGCAAATATTGATCTGAACAATAATCTGTCAGCAGGTCAGAAATCACCCACGTAACTGCTGTTATCTGAACACAGTTCAGGTTTGAGATTCACCATGAACTTTTCAGGTATTGAGGGGCTGTAGGGTCCAAAAGTCATCTGAAAATGATTGAACACATGAATAATGGACATGAAATTTAAATTACAACATAAAATAGAATGGTCATGTGTGTAAAGACATGTTATGTTCAATGGTCACTTTCAAATTTATCTTCCTTTAAGGTGGTCGAAAATAACATGGCTGCAGATATAACGACACAAAACATAGACCAATCTTGATATATTTTAACCAAATTCAGTCTGTAGATGTGTTATGTGTTCAGGTACCAAGTGTTGAAGTCAGCTAATGTTAGCTTGCATCAACCTTCAGTTATTAAAAATTTTACTTTAATGACAATCCCAGAAATCCCAGAATCACAAAAATCAGTCCATCGTGGTGATTCTGTGTTAGAATAGGTCCACTGCAACCTATCCTTGTTATAAGGGACGAGTTAAGTGATTGGGTGGTCAGGTTCGGTGACTTGGTTAGTTGCTTGTTATTGTAACAAGATGACAGTGATAATATCTAGATTCTAAATATGGCCACCATGTCAACCATATTGAATTTGTCGTCGATGCTAAATTATATTACATTGTACTTTGGGGCATAGTATTATTTTTCTTCACATGTGCCCCCTTATCTACATTTACTGCATTTTCGTTTAGTCCTTTTGGTTTTATGCATATACCGGTAAATTGGAGTGATGAGGGAAAATACCAACACTTTAAATGGTGACACAGGAGTGTATTAAATGTTATGAATTGATCTAAGTGTTAAAATAAAAATGATATTGAGAAAACAGCCACATAATAAAATATATAAGTACCCTTTATCAGAGCGGCAAATCAGTTCTAGAAATGTGAATTTTATTGGGATTCCAAACTGTATATTTGCTCAAGATAAGGATTTGAAATATCTGATGTTGGTTCTTTTTGTAATGTTGCAACATAAACATAAATACAGTCATCCCTTGCCAAAACACCCTTCATGAAATACCACAGATTGGGTTAAACTTCAGGTAAAATACATGGGTCCCATACATTTAAATACTTCCCCCACAAACGCATTTTTAGGTCATCGGAAATAGCATATCAACAAATCTGCTCTGAAATTATGAAAGTTCGTCCTGTTGTAAGGATGTTCTTGAGAAGTGTTCATTGTATACATCTAGACTTAGGACATATGTTTGCAATCTATTTGATTAAGTTTAGTCAAATTTTTTATTTGAAACACTATGTGCTTCTTAAAACACTTGCCTTCAACTATTTGTTCTTATGTTTTTGATCATGCAACCTTCTATGTACTTATTGGGTTGGAATTATCAAAAGGGTAGCAGTTTTGGGGCACCATTGCTGAGAAATATGCCAGAAAATAAATCTTGAAAGTGTGCTTTCACTAATTGTTGTTAATAAAGTGTATAAATGGGCTGAGAAATGTGTGAATTTGAAATATTTGAAATATTTTATTTGAGGTTTGAGATAAAATGCAAATTTTACAGTATTTTAATAGAGCTCCAGATAAGATTTTTGATTCAGTTTCTTGTGGTTTCAGATATCTGCTTTAAAGTGATGTCATGAACTGGACGCTGCACTCTTGATTCCAACACTAATATTGTCATGACCAAATGTTAAAGTTCATATTCAGCAAGTTGAAGATAACTGACACCATCTTTAAGTATAAGTTTCACAAATATGGTATTCAGAAGTTTTTTGTTTTCACTACTGATGTATATATAGTATAAAAAAATGGATTTCTGTAATAGAATAAAGTACTGGAATACATGTGATACTAGTTGTGTTTCCCTCACCACAATCTCATTAAAATCAGACCTTAGTTCCTGCTACCACTAAACAAAGACCTGAAGAAATCCGATTAGGAGTCACGTCAGAATGACCTTTCATTCGACCAATCAGAGCATCGCTTACCAGATCATGAAAGTGACAGTCAGAATGTGATTTCTAATCATACAACCTCGAAAACTTTTAACACGGGGTATTCCGAAAGATAGTTACAGGTTTAACGACTGAATCAATACAATCTAGACCATCTATTAGCCACTCCAGAATGTTCTTTTGTTTAGTTTTCAAATTTGTAATCGAGAATTTGTCCAAATATGTTTCGAAGCTTAGTCGCCGATTTGAAATTAGTGCCGTAAAGCACGAGAAAGCTGCCTTCTGATTGGTCATTCTATTGGTCGGTCAAAGTTCGCACAAGGTCGGTCTGACATGACCCGTACTGGGATGTCCTCAGATCTTTGTTTAGCTGTAGCAAGAACTAAGGTCTGATTTTAATGAGATTGTTGTCACCATAGTGGTTGTTTTATGCTGTTTGAGAGAAAAGTTGGCCTAATGGTCTAAAATGCTTCAACACTGCAGAGGTGTGTCGATTGGTTATGTGAGGATCCATTCTGATCACTGGTTTGGAGAATAGTGACCTTAAGCTGAACAGATGGGCATGTGGCAGTGTGATTTGAAAGTGAGACACAAATTTATGCAACCACATGAGGTATTGTGGTGCTGAAACGAAGGATCATATTCTGGATTTGAACCCATGACCAGTACATCTAGTTCCATCAACCATGACAATTGGGACACCTGTGCACCCAAGTTTCTCTCACTCTACTTCATCAAAATTGCAGTACCATAAAGGCAGAAATTAATAAGCAGTTTCTTGTCACTTTTCGGCCCAGTTTTATATCACAATTAGACATATATTGGGTAGGAACACTAACCCTAGAACCTTACGATTCTTGTTCTTTTGAGATTCCGTAACAGCTGCGTCTGATTCAAGAATAATCCTGTTTAACATCACTGTCGGACATACATTGGGTAGAAACCCTAACCCTAGCACCTCATGATTCATGTTTCTGTTAAGATACGAGAACATCAGCGTCTGTATCAGGAATAATCCAGTTTTACATCACTGTCGGACATATATTGGGTAGAAACCCTAACCCTAGCACCTTATCATTCATGTTTCTGTTAAGATACGAGAACATCAGCGTCTGTATCAGGAATAATCCAGTTTTACATCACAATTAGACATATATTAGGTAGAAACCCTAACCCTAGCACCTTATCATTCATGTTTCTGTTGAGATACGAGAACATCAGCGTCTGTATCAGGAATAATCCAGTTTTACATCACTGTCGGACATATATTAGGTAGAAACCCTAACCCTAGCACCTTATCATTCATGTTTCTGTTGAGATACGAGAACATCAGCGTCTGTATCAGGAATAACCCAGTTTTACATCACTGTCGGACATATATTGAGTAGAAACCCTAACCCTAGCACCTTATCATTCATGTTTCTGTTAAGATACGAGAACATCAGCGTCTGTATCAGGAATAACCCAGTTTTACATCACTGTCGGACATATATTAGGTAGAAACCCTAACCCTAGCACCTTATCATTCATGTTTCTGTTGAGATACGAGAACATCAGCGTCTGTATCAGGAATAACCCAGTTTTACATCAAAATTAGACATATATTAGGTAGAAACCCTAACCCTAGCACCTTATCATTCATGTTTCTGTTGAGATTTCGTGATATCTGCGTCTGATTCAAGAATAACCCAGTTTTACATCACTGTCGGAGATATATTGGGTAGAAACCCTAACCCTAGCACCTCACGATTCATGTTTCTGTTGAGATACGAGAACATCAGCGTCTGTATCAGGAATAACCCAGTTTTACATCACTGTCGGACATATATTAGGTAGAAACCCTAACCCTGGCACCTTATCATTCATGTTTCTGTTGAGATACGAGAACATCAGCGTCTGTATCAGGAATAACCCAGTTTTACATCACAATTAGACATATATTAGGTAGAAACCCTAACCCTAGCACCTTATTATTCATGTTTCTGTTGAGATTTCGTGACATCTGCGTCTGATTCAAGAATAACCCAGTTTTACATCACTGTCGGACATATATTGGGTAGAAACCCTAACCCTAGCACCTCACGATTCATGTTTCTGTTGAGATACGAGAACATCAGCGTCTGTATCAGGAATAACCCAGTTTTACATCACTGTCGGACATATATTAGGTAGAAACCCTAACCCTAGTACCTCACGATTCATGTTTCTGTTGAGATACGAGAACATCAGCGTCTGTATCAGAAATAACCCAGTTTTACATCACAATTAGACATATATTAGGTAGAAACCTTAACCCTAGCACCTTATCATTCATGTTTCTGTTGAGATTTCGTGACATCTGCGTCTGTTTCAAGAATAACCCAGTTTTACATCACTGTCGGACATATATTGGGTAGAAACCCTAACCCTAGCACCTTATCATTCATGTTTCTGTTGAGATACGAGAACATCAGCGTCTATATCAGGAATAACCCAGTTTTACATCAAAACTGGACATATATCAGATAGAAACCCTAACCCTAGCACCTTATCATTCATGTTTCTGTTGAGATACGAGAACATCAGCGTCTATATCAGGAATAATCCAGTTTTACATCACTGTCGGACATATATTAGGTAGAAACCCTAACCCTAGCACCTTATCATTCATGTTTCTGTTGAGATACGAGAACATCAGCGTCTGTATCAGAAATAACCCAGTTTTACATCAAAATTAGACATATATTGAGTAGCAACCCTAACCCTAGCACCTTATCATTCATGTTTCTGTTGAGATACGAGAACATCAGCGTCTGTATCAAGAATAACCCGGTTTTACATCACTGTCGGACATATATTAGGTAGAAACCCTAACCCTAGCACCTTATCATTCATGTTTCTGTTGAGATACGAGAACATCAGCGTCTGTATCAGAAATAACCCAGTTTTACATCACAATTAGACATATATTAGGTAGAAACCCTAACCCTAGCACCTTATCATTCATGTTTCTGTTGAGATTTCGTGACATCTGCGTCTGTTTCAAGAATAACCCAGTTTTACATCACTGTCGGACATATATTGGGTAGAAACCCTAACCCTAGCACCTTATCATTCATGTTTCTGTTGAGATACGAGAACATCAGCGTCTGTATCAGGAATAATCCAGTTTTACATCACTGTCGGACATATATTGGGTAGAAACCCTAACCCTAGCACCTTATCATTCATGTTTCTGTTGAGATACGAGAACATCAGCGTCTATATCAGGAATAACCCAGTTTTACATCAAAACTGGACATATATCAGATAGAAACCCTAACCCTAGCACCTTATCATTCATGTTTCTGTTGAGATACGAGAACATCAGCGTCTATATCAGGAATAATCCAGTTTTACATCACTGTCGGACATATATTAGGTAGAAACCCTAACCCTAGCACCTTATCATTCATGTTTCTGTTGAGATACGAGAACATCAGCGTCTGTATCAGAAATAACCCAGTTTTATATCACAATTAGACATATATTGGGTAGAAACCCTAACCCTAGCACCTTATCATTCATGTTTCTGTTGAGATACGAGAACATCAGCGTCTGTATCAGGAATAATCCAGTTTTACATCACTGTCGGACATATATTAGGTAGAAACCCTAACCCTAGCACCTTATCATTCATGTTTCTGTTGAGATACGAGAACATCAGCGTCTGTATCAGAAATAACCCAGTTTTACATCACAATTAGACATATATTAGGTAGAAACCCTAACCCTAGCACCTTATCATTCATGTTTCTGTTGAGATTTCGTGACATCTGCGTCTGTTTCAAGAATAACCCAGTTTTACATCACTGTCGGACATATATTGGGTAGAAACCCTAACCCTAGCACCTTATCATTCATGTTTCTGTTGAGATACGAGAACATCAGCGTCTGTATCAGGAATAATCCAGTTTTACATCACTGTCGGACATATATTGGGTAGAAACCCTAACCCTAGCACCTTATCATTCATGTTTCTGTTGAGATACGAGAACATCAGCGTCTATATCAGGAATAACCCAGTTTTACATCAAAACTGGACATATATCAGATAGAAACCCTAACCCTAGCACCTTATCATTCATGTTTCTGTTGAGATACGAGAACATCAGCGTCTATATCAGGAATAATCCAGTTTTACATCACTGTCGGACATATATTAGGTAGAAACCCTAACCCTAGCACCTTATCATTCATGTTTCTGTTGAGATACGAGAACATCAGCGTCTATATCAGGAATAACCCAGTTTTATATCACAATTAGACATATATTGGGTAGAAACCCTAACCCTAGCACCTTATCATTCATGTTTCTGTTGAGATACGAGAACATCAGCGTCTGTATCAGGAATAATCCAGTTTTACATCACTGTCGGACATATATTAGGTAGAAACCCTAACCCTAGCACCTTATCATTCATGTTTCTGTTGAGATACGAGAACATCAGCGTCTGTATCAGGAATAACCCAGTTTTACATCACTGTCGGACATATATTGAGTAGAAACCCTAACCCTAGCACCTTATCATTCATGTTTCTGTTGAGATACGAGAACATCAGCGTCTGTATCAGAAATAACCCAGTTTTACATCACAATTAGACATATATTAGGTAGAAACCTTAACCCTAGCACCTTATCATTCATGTTTCTGTTGAGATTTCGTGACATCTGCGTCTGTTTCAAGAATAACCCGGTTTTACATCACTGTCGGACATATATTGGGTAGAAACCCTAACCCTAGCACCTTATCATTCATGTTTCTGTTGAGATACGAGA